AAAGCTTGACCTTTTTACGATGAAATTCGAAATCTTAATATGAATTTTATTGAGATTGATGTTCCTCTTTTATTTCAATGTTGTTTGGTATTTACAGTAGATTTAATCAAATATTTCTTACTCCTGTAAACATGCAATTTTAATGTATGTCAAACGTTTCTATTATCATCTAGATACACGTAATATTTTTAATTTTATTTTTGGTGAGTTTCTTTGCATTAATATCAGCTTTTGAAATAATCACTTTGTTAGATGGAACAGTAGCGAAGCAATAATATGCTCCCAAGACTCTTGAATAATCCAATAAATCTTAAACTACTTTTTTTTTAGTATCTACTATTTCTACCCTAATAAAAACAAAACAAATACAAAATTCGTGCAACGCACGTGTCAACGACTAGTAATGGAAAAAAGTGGACAATGCTAATGATACATATTCTAGATAAATTTGGAGTGTGTGTCCCACCAATGTACTAGAAATGATACATTGGGACGGATATAAAGCTAAACAAATTGTTTCTACCCCAAGGATCGAGGACCGTGTTGGTTGTAAGGAATGTGAATCGGCCTATCCAATGGATTTATTGAGTGTGTGAGTTTATTTATGGCATGAAACAACTCATCGTATGGGCCTAGCTTATTGATACGTTCCAACTTTATGTTTTTGTCATTTTTGTGTGATTAATTTGTATCGACAATCCAATATCAAATCTTTTAGGTTTGAGCTACTCCTATTAAAAGCTTGACCTTTTGGGATGAAATTCGAAATCTTAATATGATCAGAGCTCAAATGGCTTACACTTGCAATTTGATCTGACTAGATTCAAATGAGTGCAGGAATTTTAAAATTTGTGTGCTCAAACAAACTTTCACCATGTAGAGCATGTTGATGGATAAATATCACATGGATTGGAGATTAAATAAATAACCAACATAAATGCATCGATGTAGAAATTAGTTTATAATAAGTTAATGCATAAAAATTTTATGCATATTCAAAATTTGAATACGAATACTACTAAAAGTTTCAACTTAATTTAGTAATACATGATATTAAAAAAATCAATTAGTTAATATTATGTACACACAATTTAAATATTAACAGATACAAACTTATCGATAAAATATTATATTTATAAATTTATAAATGAAAACATGAGGTTAAATATAAACATTTGATTTTTAATTCAAGTAAAATTTAGTTACAAAATAGTATACATTAGTTCATTAAAACTTTAAAACATTATAGCCTCAAAATTTATTATTGAATCATGATTGTATTATATTAATGTAATATATTAACAATTGCAATAATTTAGTAGTATATCATAATACCCATTTGGTCATCTGATATTTAAAATTGTACTTTTTTCATCTTTTCCTTATAATTAATTTTATGTATTTCAACTTCATTTTAGATGAGATATAGCTAAAAAGGTGCAAGGGAGTGAAGATGACACTTAAAACTAGAAATAGAAAAGAGTCATGATTTTTAAACATTGAGAGGTGCCTCTAAATACTATCATAAAGTCTACATTACTCTATGATATTTCGATGTTAATTTAGATAAGTTGATCATCGAGCTCCGATGTCAGTAAAGATCGTGCTTAAGTCATTACCCACGCATGATAACAACTGTCACGTATCCACCTCGAATGTTAGCTGAGTCAGGCAATCATTTACTTCGGCAAATCCTTGTGATCGAACTAAACTAATGAGTTTGGTTAATTAATCAATTAAGAAAAATAATTAGCTTTAAAGAAGCAACAATCATTCAAGGATAGAAGATCAGTCTCCCAACCATCCAACCCTAGCTACTAATGCGACATAAGATAAAGAAGGATAGGTGACAAACATACGACCTGGCTATCATAGCACCACCACCACCACCACCTACATGAATAATAATGTAATATGAGTTTAACGATAAAAGATAACGTACTCTGTTTATCATACAATTATAATTGTCTATGAAAATTGCCATTAAATGAGCCACCGTCAACTAGAATCTTAATCTCGTGTCAAGTTGCACGTTAAGAAATTATTGCGTATTCATTTCGTGTTTAAAAAGTCAAAAAGTCCTCCAAACAATCATAACTAATTAATTCATTGGCTTAGAGAATAGCCATCATAAATTCCATGTTCACACAGCAAAAAGCCATCCAATGTAGGAGTCTTTGTCTTGAATTTAATTGATTATCTACTCGGTTTCTCTAATTAATTATGTAATATAGGAACATAAACTTGAGTAGTTTGTGTCTTTATCAGTTAATATTCCCTTAATCAAATTAAGGTTGTTCATCTAGTCCACTATATAATAATAGTGTTCCCCTAAGTATATTATATTCTATTCTAAGGAGTTCCAATGGCAAGGGGAAAGAGCAAGGCTGGGATTTTTGAAACTTTGGATTTTTTTTTTTTTTTCATTTTTTGCCTCTTTTCTTCATTATTATTAAAAAGTAAGAATCGGGATGATGATCGTATTCTCCATTCGCGACTAACTAGAAATCACCATTCCATCCCATCCCATCCCATACCATACAGAGCAAAAATGAGACATTTTGTTATCCTAGGTCTCAATTGCATTAGATGTCAATTTATGAGCAACTTTTTGACTATGTGAAAAGTTTGGAGCATGGCTTTCTTTTTTAAAAAGTGAACTCAAAAGTAGAAAATAAGAACTTGTAGAAATTTATCCACCCACTTTTGGAATGAGGGTCCAAGCTGAAAAATAATATTGCCTCCGTCCCATAAAGATAGGTTTGTTTTCATTTTCATACAGATGAAGAAAACTTAAGTAATAATAGTGGAACTATATATTTTATTTATGTTTTTTCTCATATATCCTACATTGAATAATTATATTTCATATTGGTTGATAACGAAACACATTAAATATGAGTATATTAGAAAATTAAGAAATTAACTATACTCTTAACAAGGAAAGTGTCCTATAATTTGAGTCAGATGAAACAGAAAAGCAATCATATCTTTATGGAACAGGTGAAGTCTTTTATTTATCCTATTGATAAATGTAGAAGAATTTGCACAATTAGTCAATTCACCTATTGTTTTAATATTTGGATTTCAATATTTAAAAAGAAGCATTTTGATCTCCAATCTTTCATTATTGGCAAACAATTGTTCTCAATATAGAAATAGTCCAAAATTTCATTAAATTGTCATTCGATTCTTGTGAAAATATTACTCATTTCAAATTTTGAACACCTACCCAAGTTGAGAAGTACAAGTAAGCTTCATAAAGTTGGACACAGAGAGTCTTGTAACAAAAAATCGGATAGTTCCTATCACGAGTGAATGATTTCGAAACTATGAAATATTAGAGACCAACCTCCTCTTTTTAAAGGGACAAGAACTTGCTATTTGAACTCCTAGACACCGATACAATAATTTTTCATAAATATATAAGTTGAGATTTGCTTCCGATATTCTAAAAAATTCAATCATTCCCCACTACGATTGGATTTCAATATTGACAAGTGAAGTACAAAAATAAACTCCTTATTTTGATTCTAATCGTTGATATAAAACGAAGTTGAAATTACTTGAAACTTTCTTGACTTCAAGTTTATTATCTGTACATATTAAATTGTGTCACCTATGCTACTTTTAGGAAGTGGCATGTGATGTAAAATAAAAGGCACTAGTGAATTACTAATTATATGATAACATGATCTTACTTAGCTAAAAATTTGGTAGGAGCATGTCATGTTGGCATCAACCATTGCTTCCAAATATAGATGAAAAGGGACACATTCTCTTTGGGGCATAAAAGAAAATGTCTCATGGGAAAAGTTACATTTATAATATCATCGAGTACATATTTCACTCTAACATTTTCTTTTAATTTAAAATGATCCATCATTCTGACTCACTTTCATGCTTTTTTGTATGCCATATGACTCGTTTCATGCGGCCACTATCATATCGACTCTGTCGATCAATATAAAAATCCTAGACTTGGTAACTCGACACTAATTGAATTGCGACCGAAAGCAAGGGCAACTATGACACTGACCCTTGTCGATCAATAGATTGTATAGATCGAACCATCTTTCACAAAATACACTACAAGTTAGATCTCTCTCTTTTCGAAATAGTCAATAGATTAATGGGTGAAAAGGAAAAAAACGAAGAAGGGACCACCCCAACAAGACACAGAAATTCTGAAAACAAAAGCAAAAGAATCTGAGCAAAGTAACTGAAAGAAGCAAAGCAAAGCATACATACCAACAAACAAAACCCTAAAATTGTAACTGAAACAAGACTTATGCAACCCCTTTTCAACGTCAAACTTCTTTTCCTCCACGCAAACTAAAGGGAAAAGTAACTGTAGCATTCCGGTCCGGTGGTTAGGTGGGGTCGGAATTTCTATTCAAATTTGAATAGACAAGATTAATTATTCATTAATATTTACACGGGACATATTTCTATTCATATTTATAAATCATTTGTAATAATAAATAGTAATTATAAATGTGTGATTGTAAAATACATTAATTTTGATCTATACTCTTTATCTTTATTTCATTTTTATAAGAATAATGCCACTCAAACGGGGATAGCAAACAGGGGCATTACAGGTACTGCGTTGGCAGCACTTGAGGCAAACAGCGGTAGGGATAGTGCCTTAAGTCTTCCTCGTTTCCCGTTACAATGTCCTGTTATGAGTTATGACTCATCATTCATTGCTAGCTCTTTCTCATTTATTATTTTTTTCACTTTTTCTTTCAAATTTTCAAACTTCTTTGGAAAAAAAGAAAACCTATCTTTTTCAATCCATGAATTTTATGAATTTAGGGAAATGATAATTGTACCGGGGGG